TGACAATGAAATGATCAGCTTAGTACCAAAAACATGGCACATCTGTGGGCCACATGAATCTTCAATAATCTGTACTAGATGGGTCATACCATAAATCTGTCTGCTGGATGGCTTTGTCATCCGCTCTGACATGACCACAATGCATTTATGTTGTAGGTGGTTGAGATATAACTCATATGTGATGTTGTATGCATATGGGACAATTTAGCTTTGAAGACAATGTTGTAATCAGACTTGAGCACTTTAATTTAGTAGAAGAAGACTCTGGCACTATTAGTGGCTTATTCATACATATGAGTTGCTTTTAATGGTATTGTTAGCATCGATATCCTTTTGTCTCGTTCTCCCTTGCTTGGACCACACCGACCTTCGAACTCTGCCTTCATTTTGATCTCAACTACACACCTGTAAAGTTTCGTGACTGCATCCTGCACATCTGCAATGCTATCGCAGTGACACAATCTGTCCACAGACAGACATATAAACACCAGGCAGGTGTTAGTTCTTGCTAGTTAGGTGTCTCCAGGACCACATTTTGCCATGATGACACAGACACAGACTCACAAGGAGAAAACAGTACCAGCGTCGCCGTCGCGGTAAATATGGAAACATAAAACTGGTGAACCTGGAAAATATTTTCTATTACACATCAGTATGTTACCATTGTCACTGTGAGCTGTGGTGTGGCTGTAGGTTCTTGTTCAAACATATGTACAGCTAATTTTCCGATGGACCTCCAAGATGGTTACTGGAAGATTTGTGATGCAACTGTCAAGCTTCCATTGACGTGACCAGGAACTGTAGGTGTGGCTCTGTCCGGGGTCTATAAAGGGAGGGAAGTGAAGTCTGGAAACCAGTCACAGTTACAGCCACTGGCATTCCACACCAATCTGAGAGATGGGCTTTGTCAAACACACACACATGCACAGTGTTAAAAAAGACTGACATGAAGAGGGATTTGGGGTATATTGATAGTTTATTTTCTTGCCCAGAGCTAGATGAGATGATTGATACCTCCCTCACATCTGTCCTTTCAATGTGTTAGCATCAAGACTGAAAACACTAGTTCGGCTCTGTCCGAAGGTAACAAAATCCTCCTATACCAGCAGATTTAACTCACTAATGACTCAATATATATGTTTGTTAAACAATACAAACCAACGCATAAACACAAAGCATTTATGTGTTTTAAATGAGGGTTATGTGTGGGGCTATTTCTTGGCCCGGGCTTTAGATGCAGTCGTTAAGAAAATAAAGGATTCTTGAGATGCAAATGCTCAAACTGAAAGATCCTATTAAGCCCAGGCTTGTTTTCCAGTGAAATAAACCAAGTCTTGTATGTAGCATATTTGTAGAGGCACAATGGGGGCGTGATATGCTCAGGACCTTAGTTTTTCAACGCAGTTTCCATGCAGGCTGGAAATACACACTATCCCACCACAGAGGCCCCTGCTGCCCCATTCATTGCCCCGACCATGAAAGAGTCCATTTAAAGCCTCAGAGGCTGGACATGACCTGAGTTTACTGTCTAGGCTGTGTTAGCCTTCCCTCTGAGCCCAGTCTGGGAATACACAGGCCATGTAGACCTGATGAGGACTGTAGGACCCTGTTGAAGGTGCAGAGCCTGAGAGATTCTCTAAACCTCTGTATGACTACACACTTTGTTCCTTAAACACCCAGTATTATTTTGTGTCCAAATATGTCTCGGGCTCAGGACAATAATGATCTTATGAAGTATTTATATAGTTTTTTTAACTTAGTAAATCCCTCAAATTTGAAAACTGGATTGGACTGGACAGGATATGTGAAGTATTTCTGTGGACAACCTAAGAGAGGAGAGGAAATACTGGAGAGTTATAGGTAGAAGTTTGAGTCTTGACCTTTTTTCTAAAGCAGCCATTTTGAACAACCAGGTGCAAAACTGTGTCTGGAAATCTTACCATCAGTATAAAAGTAGTGTTACACATACCTAAGCACATTCATTTATAACAGAATTATAATGTTGAGATTTTTATTTTCTTTATTTTTCTTCTCATTTGTTCCACATTCTATTGGCCTGAAAGTGATTAAGTGGTGCAAAGAAGTTGTTTCACCTGGAAGGTGTAACACAAGCAGGGTTCAAATGATCTCTCCCAGGTCCAATCTCCTGTCCAGGTTCCTCAACCAACCAGTAGGAGACAATAAAACAGTGACATAGGAAGATCCTCACCTGCAAGTAATAATCATATAAAAACACCTTGGTTTTTGGTGGTCACCGTCTTGGTTTTTGGCCATCGACCATCTTGGTTTTTGGGCGTCACCATCTTGGATTTTAATACCATAAGTGACAAGAGAGGGTGGAGCTAAATACAACCCAACACTAAGTAAGGCATTTTTAAGTGGCACTTTCATGAAATGACAACACACTTTGAAACAGTTGAAGTTGTAAGAAGAAAACTCATTCTACAGTAAGCTGACCAAAACAAAACGATTCTTAGTTTCAGGTGATTGGTTATTGAAAACATATTTGTGAATATTTTATTCCATTTCTGCTCTTAGATCCCCCTAAAGCCAACACACTGGCCCTTTAACTCTGCTTCAAGTTGTGACATTTTTAAACAAGTCTGAATTTTTCACACAATTGCCGATTGTTTATACTGCTGTCTTTCATGACTTTCATGAGCATGTTAAGCTGCTTAATGCAATTATGTTATATTAACAAAGTGACAAACCCACAAAAAAGATTTCACCCCATTCTGCAGTTCCTCAAGGCTCTAAAGAGCATTTTAGCAGAACTCACATTCCCACCGATTGACACCTGAGTGAAGCTTGTTGTTTTATTTATTGTTTGCTAACCTTTCTCCAATAAACGTAAGCCACTTTGTGTTTCTAATGAAATATCAAGAAAGCTGCTATAAGACACTGGAATAAGTCATTGACTCTGTAGCTATTAATGTCTCTCTGACAGAATCATTACCTCAGCTTGCCTGCAGAGGCAGTAAAATCACTTCTTCTGACTTTTTGCCACCTGAAACTGCACTTTTTCAGTTTCTACACTTCTGTACTCCTGTACTCCAACCCCTTTGCCTTCAGCTCTTTCAATGGACTGATATATAGGCTGGAACTTGCATTTTATTAAGAATAATATCTAGAGCTATCATTGTCAACCTCCTCTGGTCTGGCAGACATCATGTTCTTCATAAAAGTCATCAAATTTGAAGATTTTATTGGTACTAAATATCAGCTATCTACAGCTTTATCCCCCAAAATACTACAGTTAGGCCAACCGATGCAGACTGAGTCAGACTCAAGTTGTTTTTCCCCCTCTGTCTCTCCCCCCCAGCCACTACATTCCCAATCAGCATCTCTCTCTCTATCTCTCTCTTTTCCTCTCCCTCAGTCTGACGCATTATGTCGGAGGGATCGAGTGTCTACCGTTCCTCCCATCACCTGTGAAATTTCAGAGCCAGGCCACGGTGAAAGGGGGTATTGTGTCCCCCTGATGAGGAATGCCCTTGCGTCTCTCCTCAAAGAAAGGGCTTCATTTGGCCAGGAATTTGGAGGCATCTCGAGAAGTGTAGGGGAGATTTTCTCGGGGTTGGGGATGGGAAGCTGAAGGCCTTCATAAGCCTGGTCAGGAGAAGGACAGGCCTTCCCTAGCTGGTACCCAATCTCTGTTATACTGATGGAGTTGCATTGGCTCAACAGAAACCTCTGGAGTAGAGGTGGAAATGTTTCCCTTTGTGATCCCTTTAAATCTCTATCTATGATTAATGAACTATCTAACCATTTTCATGTCTAAGAAAGGTCAATTAAAAGGGACGTTCTAATTAGTCTAAAAACATAATACAATATGATAACAGATTGAAGTTGAAGAGGGGAGCTAAGTAATACTTTGAAACGTCAAACCCACAACTGCTGCAGCAGCTGTTATTTCATATGGAAAGCCTGACACCTGCTGGTGAAAGACAACAACTAAACTTAATGTGCAGGGCTGGTTATTGCTGTTACATTATTATTAAATGGTGCAAAGCTTTATATTGCTTCAGAGTGTGCTTTATAAATGCTATTTACTAGGGCTGTCACAATATCAGATTTTCCCTTTACCATTATCAGGGCCCAAATAATTCACAGTAATGATATTATCGCGATAACTATAGACAATTTTGACAAAATAATAATATTTTATGCAAGCATAAAAATAATGCTTGCAGACAAATACATCTTTGTTTATTGTACATTTTGTCTCTTTTCTGGCAAATGAATTACACTCAGAGCAGTAGGCTGGAGTGTAGGGAGGTAGAGAGAGTCTAACCATAACTGTTAGAAAAGAGGTGCTGAATTATTACCACGATTATCATACGGTATGTGTATTATTAACATGATGTTAATATATTTAGATACAGTTGACATAACTAACATGACAATGAATGCTCCTATTGAAACCTTTAAATAATATTGATAATACGCATTACTAACTAATTATTTCAGCTGGAGGGTTATCTTTAAGGCTAACATAGTTATTTCAGTTTCTAACTTTGACCCCTGGAAGGCAGTCTTGCACTATTTTACATTACAACTACACATGGGCTATTTAAGTGCGCATTCTTAACTTGCAACACAGCCAAAATTATATTTTTATCAAGCAGTATTTTTTTTTGCTTTGATGACGAACGAGGCCTCATTAACTAAAATCAAACAGTAGTGCTGTGGACTCTGTATTGGCATTTCAAATGCATTATGCAATTTATATCAAGGCATTTGACTCGGCAGTCTCATTTAATTCTTCGGTACAAATGCAATTACGATACGATACGATTAAGATACGCTCAGTGACCAGAAGTCCCCATTGTAACTATCACTACTAAAAGCAGCCTTGCTTCAATGTGTGGAGTGTTTGGGAAAACTTCGTTAGTTTCCCCCATCACACGTGCTATATCGAACAAATGTTACGGGATCGGACAATACTCCAGACCAGAATGTGTCGCTGCTATTTGTTGTCCACCCGAAATCACCGTAGAAGAAGAAGAAGACGCGGGCGGAAGTGGATATGTTTACTGGCTGCAGCCGCGTCAGGCTTGTAATGTAGCTTTATGTCGTCAAAGATGTCACTTGAGCTTTGAATTACTTGCTGAAACATTACTTGAATATACTAGTGGCTGCATCTAATGTATTGGAATCATAAGGGGATTCACAGTTGGCCTCGGCAAAGTAATGAGGTAAATTCAACCTGGGGGTTTGCTGCACGTTAGCTTCGCTCACATATAGCACCGAGCTAAGGTTAGCGCTAGTCCTGTGTAGCACGGGTCTCTGTTCAAAGAAAATAAATTTAACTTGCTGATCAAAAAATGTAACGATACACGTCTGATAGACCATGACCTCGGATAATTAAGAAAGCATTGGGATTGGTTCTTTAATTCGGCAGTATTCGTTTAAAAAATAGCTAATGATTGACAAGGAAACCAATTTACTAAATTCACGTTTACAATTGTAAGAATAACACATTACACTTGTAATTTAGCTACTGAAAGATGTTAGTAATATTTCGTCCTCCATGTGAGGGCCAAACGACACAGTATCACCAAATGAGTTTCAGGTTAACTTCAGTGGTTATTGCAGGATTGTTGAAGTACTGTTGTTCAGGTCACTCTTTTATATATATATATATATTAATATTATGTCAATACAGCTGAGAAAAATGAAGGCGTCCAGTGGACTGGTCGGTACTGTTACTGTTTTGTCTAACTGTAGCATCTCTCTGCCTGCTGTTCTGCAGGGAAATGGACAAGAACGAGGACCTGGTCCCAACACGCATCAATAAAACACTGCTTATCCGCCACCTGCCAGCCGAGCTCCGACAGGATGAGAAAGAGGACCTCTTGAAGTATTTTGGAGCCGAGTCGGTCAGGGTCTTCTCAAACACGGGTCGTTTGGTAGGTTGTGCCTCACTGACACCAAAGCTTTGTGTCTTGACATTCATTTGAGTCGCTGTCCTTTTCTGAGTGCGCTTTTCCATCTCCACAGAAACATGCAGCTTTTGCAACCTTTAGAAGCGAGAGGTCGGCAGCAAAAGTGAGTTCTTTACGTAGTGTTTGTAGTCGTATGACATTTGTGAATACGTATGACATTTGTGTAAAGTTAGAGTTTAAAGTGAATCTCATTGTATCATTGCATCTGTTTTAGGCTCTCAGCAGGCTCCATCAGTTAGACGTCCTTGATCATACACTCGTTGCGGAGTTTGCGAAAGGCCAAGATCATGTGACAGTATTAAAGGACCCACCGGTGTCAAACAGGTAAATTGCTTGATTTATATGGATTAACAAACGCCGTGGATCTGCACAGGCCATAGTTATGACAAATGTTACTTTTGCACATACTGGCTCGATCTGACAGGGATGTTAACAGCCGATCGAGCCGGTGTTGGTTTCGGTCGTGTGGTCTTAAGATCCTGTTGTAAGCCCCACAGACCAGAAATGATTTCCCCACATATGGATTTTTATTTATAAGTTGGCAAATATCAACTTTGACCAGACTCAAAATTGGACAAAGTTCAATTTGAACTGAAATCTACACCTAGTGCTTGAGTGAAACTCACTCAGTCTTAGTGTGAACACATTCTCAGCACCCAGCTAAATGAAATAAGTAGCATTAAAACACGTATTCATCACATGATCGTGGGTGAAAGCCACAGTTGAATTGTTTTTGTAACGTGTACTTTTCTTCTACAGTGGTAAACATGTCAAGAAAGAGCAGAGGAAACAGGAGAACAAGCAGCCAAACATTCCCCTCATAGAGACCGGCATTGCGCCTAACCTTGGGTGAGTGTTGAATGCATGTCTACAAACTGTTGTTAGCGAATCTCGATGTAGTCGGAGATGATTTCTGAAATCCTAATTGAGATGAGGCGTTCTGTTTTCATGACGTGTTGTAAATCGGTCTGAAAAGATGACATTGAACTGCTTCAGTTATACTCAGCAGGTGGTTTAGTGTGTCACTCTCTCGTGCCTTATACTCAAGACATCATGTGGCGCTCTCGTTTTTGTTCTCGCTCTGTCTTGTGAGGTTAAAACTAAATGATCATATTACGTTCTGCAGTATCAGGCCCCATGACCAAGGCGTTACCTATCCAAAGGATACTATATACAATTAGATATGCACGCATGACACGCGCTGTCCAAAACTGGTGTCCGTCGGTCTGAGTGTGCAGGCTAGCTGACAATAAACCTGGACCAGCATCTGAGAGCAATGGTCAGGAGCTCTCAGTGGCTTTGTGTCCAATTAGATGGTCAGGCCGCCATTGAGCGCCTGACAGGGCCGTCTGTCCTGCCAGTTGGTGGCACCAGGTGGTCTTCGATAGGTCTCGCTCCAACACTGCCAGTTTATCCCGCCGTGTGCTGAAATATAATCTGGATCAGCCAGTAGTGTTCACCACCTCCTGATATGATGCAGTTTGGTTCCATATATTTCTTTAATTCTTATTGTTTATAGCAGTAGATCATTCTGGTGTCCTACAGGTGAAGTACTGCTAAGAGACATTTTCATTCTGACGAAGGTTAAACTCTGGGATGAACAAAGCAGCATAGTTTGATGTCTGACTGCATTTCATTTCATTAATGAATGAATAAAATAAAAATCCTCTCTCATGGTCTCTGTAATTGTATATCTCAGAGTTGGACCATTTATAAAAAAAAAAAGAAAATAATAATAATAATGTAATTTTCCCAATCATGGTGTTGAATGAGACACACACTCTTTGGCACTACGACTGTTGCTACATCTGAGACTAAAGGCTAACATCATACAATTAAAATGTTTGACATTTTTATGTTTCTTTCATTTATTTATTTTAAATTTCTTCACTTTTAATTAATTGTGCTGACATGTTAGTTTTCACCTTGCAGCAAAATGAGTGTGTCCTCCCAAACATTACTACACAGTTATCAGATGGATATAAATTTAGGCTGTTCTCACTGTTTTTCTCAGTCCCACTAGAACTGCTAACAGATTTATTTTGTGGCAGATTAAACAACATACACTTGAAGTCTTAGTTTATTAGGCCTCAGAGTGTGGGCTTCTAAAAGTTATTATTACACGAGGACCAGCTTTGGTGCTGACATGGCATGCTGCTCCCAACATCCCTTAATGGCTGGGGTTCATATTTGTTGGCTGAGTGCTTGTCATCTTAAGAATGAGCTAGGTAGCTAACGCTCACCGGCTGGACCACATATTCATGCGTCTCCATTATTTTGACACATTCTGTGAGTTGTTAAGTGACGGGGGGGTATTGTATTTTAGGCAGCCAGTTGCAGCCGCAGAGTTTCCTTTTAAGTCATTTTGTCTCTTCCTCTCGCTCTCTCTCCCACAGGTTGACATTTCAATCGAATCCAACTCTGAAATATTTATACCCACCACCTTCGAATGACATACTGACAAACATATCGCATGTCCTCATGAGTGTGCCAAAGTTTTATGTTCAAGTGAGTATAAACTGCTTCTTTTATATCATTTTGTTGTTCGTCCGTTACCTGCACATCTTTGATATGCATATGTTGGTCATCTGTGTGTGTGTGTGTGTGTGTGTGTGTGTGTGTGTTCTGTTTGTGTCCCTGTTCCTGTATTCATACTTTCCCTTTTTTTAGGAAAGTGGGAATTTGTACCAAAAAAAAAGCAAATGTGACAACATTTCGAGCCTTCAGATTCCCATTTTAGATGGAAATATGAATATCGCAGAGGTTTTTGAACTCCATCCAACCTCCTAAAGATCAAACAGCAAACATTTGCCTTTTAAATTTCAATTTGGGGAGCAAGTATTCATAATAAACCATAAGTGGGAGGCATGAGTTATAGGTTTAACATTTCCCTGGGAGCCGTGCTGCCTGGCTTTTCCCATGCTGCTGCTTCTAGCGTCGGCGTCTTGGTGGTGCTAGTGTGTCGCAGAGAAGCCGCCTCCCCGCCCGTGCTCAGCCTCACCGCCGCTATCTCACTTCAGCCTTGATCTCACCTCAATCCTCGTATTTTAAATGAAAATGCAAAAGCCTTGCAATCTGTTTTACATATGGAGCCCCAAGTTCCCCGGCTGCCTGTTTGTGAGCAGCAGTATATTTATATTACCAGCTCCCACCCATCTTTTGGTATGAATCTTTAGATACAGCCGTCACCGCTCTAATGCTCTCGTCCCCAATTATGCAGGTACTGCATCTGATGAACAAGATGAATTTGCCGTGTCCCTTTGGCCCGGTCACTGCCAGGCCCCCCATGGTAAGCTTGTGTACATTGGATAAAGAGGAACAGGTTGTAGATGGTTTGGGTGTTATTAATATGATGTTAGACAAGAAATTCTGCGTTATAAAGAGGCTATTATATAAATGTGTTGGAGGGGACGTGTCCAAGGATAGGAACTCGACTACTGAGGTTAACCAGCTCCAGAGGACCCTCAACCATCAGGGGCTTACTGATTAAATCTCTCTCTGGGTTTTTGGTGACTCAAGCAGCTATGCATTGCCCCAAAGACCACTTCAGGGCCACCGACCATCTTTTACTTTTACTGAAATCAGTGCAGATGCATATGTGTGAGTGTTGTGTAAGTACATGGAAAAGCCCCGAGTACTGAAGGTAGATGGTGGACAAGCTTGTTTTTTTCTCGCAAATGTATAAATCTGAAATATTGCCTTTGGCTCTTAGAAATTATGATGGTCATTTTCACTATTTTCCATCATTTCATTAACCAAAAGATTCATTTAGGAAATAATCATCAGATTAATTGATAATGTTACAGCTCTACTAACTACACCACTTAGCACAGTCATCTTTTATTATTGGTGGGGGGAATATTTGAGCACTTTGCATGAGTCTGAAAATATTGTGACTCAGTTTAAGCCTCGTATAATCCATCCCCCCTGCTGTGATAATAAAGATGTAGCCTTCCATGCCTTTAATACTTGTATCACTTCTCCTACCTGCAAACCAATGAATCCCAGTTCTGACCTAAGACTACACTCCTGAAGTCCGTCGGCTGAACCCAGAGGCATTTGCGAGCTAAGCCAGCTTGTTTTTTTCCTTTCCTGCAGTTTGAGCTCCTGCCTCCCGCACCACCCATGCCCATGCCTCCTCCCTTCCCTCCCGACTACCCGCCTTTACCAGAGGAGGAGATGGAGCTGTCCAGTGGAGAAGAATCCGAGTACGAGAGCGGGGACGACGAAGACAAAGAGAGGTGGGGAGCAGTTAGAGAGGACTCATCTCTGCGTAAACATCTTCTCGAGGCATTTTGTTTTGCATTGCCGCTGCCATTCGACGCGGTGTGTTCATGTGTCATTCACAAGTAATGTTTCTAGAAACACAAGTGGCTTGAAGAGAAAAGTCTTAAAACTTTTTTTTGTGCAGGGTAGACATTTTCTCCCTTATTCTCTCTCTTTGCTTTATTCCAGGATTGTTCGTCTGATGGGCCTGGTCAACCAAGCATGCAAGAGACCCCTGAGACCAAAAACAGCTTCAAAGAGAAAGAAGCCCAAGATCAAGGATCTACTCTATGCTCCCAAACCAGACTCTCAGAGGTACACCAAAGGCACTCGTGCATGTCACAGTCCTCATGCATAGACGGTATTCTTAGGCAGCTTAAAAAAAAAAAAAAAAGGACGAAAAACCTCCAGACAATAGTCCTCATAAAGACAGCCTTTTGTGGCTCATTTGACAGTATTGTTTCAAGCACACACTCCCTTAATGACAGACCACAAGCTCTGTTTCTAAACTATACGCACACCTCAGTGTCTCTGGGCTGCGTGTCTGTGGAATGGGGAAGTATCTGTGGTGGACCAGAACAAAATAACGCAGCCCTGAAGCCTCTCCGGAGCCAGGTTTATTGGGGCTACTGTTTTAGAGGCTGCTGTTGAGGGGATTGTCTCTGCTGTCCTCAGTGCTCCAGTGCTGCAGCCCTCTGATGTGTTTGAGCAGCCCCACCCCGCCGGCCAGAGGAAAATCGAATTCCACATTTCGGTTCCAGAGGCAGCGGCCATAGTGGAAGGAAGTGGGCCTGGTCAGCCTGACAATGAAGGCGGAGGTAAGGGCTCTGCCGCTATGTAGCCTGTTGATTTGTTTTTTGTTTTTTATTATTAATTCATTAATCATTTCGTGACTGAGAAAAACTTCCATCACAATTTCCCAGAGCCCACGGTGATGTCCTTGAAGTTCTTGCTTGGTCTGACCAACAGTTCTAAACCCCAGAATACTCAAACCGAGAAAAGCAGCAAATCATTTAACATTTAAGAAGCTTGAATATGTTTTCGCTGAGAAAGGTGAATTATTTTTTTCTTCTTATTTATTGACCAATTCATTTTCTGATCAATTTAGCACGAATCATGACTTAAATACAGTTCTTTAGTTTCTATGACGTCACTTTGCTAGACATCAACCATAGGTAAGGTCAAGTCAATAAGATCATTGATCTGTATTTGTAATGACTTTAATATAGATTAAAGTCTTTAACTAACAATTATTTTCATTCACCCGAGTGTGGGATTATTATCTCAATAAATCCATCAATGACTTTCAATTTATTGTCGTAAAAATTGTGAAAATGGCTCATTGCAAATGGAATCAGCAAATATTTTTGAACTTTTGCTTGATAAATTAATTTAAATGTTAAATAGTTGCTCATCAATTTCCTGTCGCCTGACTAAAGGATTAGTCTGCTAGTTGTTCAGCTTTCATTTCCATTAAGATCCACCTCTTATCTCTCTTATCTGTTATTGATGACCGGCATCTTCGGAAGGAACTTCGTGCCAATGTGCATTAGGCTAAATTGTACACGCCACTTTTTAATGTGGAAGTCCAATCAGCGGAGCAGCGGCCTGTCACTGAGATGAGAATAGCTGGTCCAGCAGTACATAAGAAAAGTGCACCGCCTTCTGTCTTCGGAGGAAGAAAGGCACCATAAGGATTTGATTATTCCCATACATCATGTTTATTATCGCAGAGAAGCAGGAGGTGGTTTGATACTCATAAGTTAAAGCCCTTACCATGGAGCCAAGTGTTGCACAGCAGTATATCACAGCAGAAAGGTTTTTTTTTACCATTATCTGTATGAGAAAATGTCATTGGGGGCACAGTCTGTGTTACTTGTCAGCTGTGCAGCTCCCTGTTTGCCTTATCGGCCCTCTCTCTCTGGCTACAACTTCACTCCCCGGCAAGCCCCCGAGAAGTAAAATAGATCTCAAAGTCAAACACAAAAGAGGCGGGGGAAAGATAAACTATGTCAGGTGGCTTTTTGGATTAGTCTTGTTTTGGGAAAGGTGTGGGGGGGTTGTGTGATCCGATAAACAAGCTATTTAAATGGAAATGGGAGTTGGGGAGGCAGATAAGGAGGAGGATAATTTTGAAAGCAGGGATCTAGTTCTCTGCCGAGAGTGTATCAGAAAAGCTCCCCAGCACTTCTTGCTCCGGTACACACATGAGACAAGATTTCTTTGCCCCTCCTCAGATTTGTACAGGCTCACTGCTCTTAGTAATTCCATTGTGTGTGTGTGTGTGTGTGTGTGTGAGTGTGAGAGTGTGTGAGAGAGTCAGTCAGTCAGTCAGTCAAAAGTCTGCCGGAGTTATCCTTCCCCGCTGCCTTTCAAACTCATGTTTACAAAACAGGAATGGCTTTTGATTTGATTACAGTTCTTTATTTGACAAAGACTGAATGTGCTTCCGCCTCACTCTTCAGACCGTCGTCTTCAGCGCGACCAATTCAACTACAGCGTTATTTCCAGCAAAAGACGTCATTCACCGCGTTTAACCGCCCCCCCGACGAAGAAATCCCTGTTTTCAACTCGGCCAGTTTGTAATGAGGCCACGGTTAGGAATGTTAAACAATCAATATGTTAAACTGATTTCGACCAGGAGGATTTGCATCCGCTCTCCCATCCTGAGTGTGTTTGGGTTCCTGAAGACGATAAACATTGTGGAAGTGATTACTTCACCATCTGCTGTTGTGAGAGACTTTGAAAACTTCCATCTGTGTTTGTGCTGTAGGGAGAGCATCCTCTTCCTTGTTTCGTGTCATAAAGCAGCCCGGCAACGCGCGTGTGCATCCAACTTAAGTGACACGTAATACGGGAGACCGCTTAGACGCTGCCGGCGTTGTTGCCAAAACAAATACAGCGACAACTTGACGAGTCGGTTGTGAATGTGCTGCATCGGGTTCAACTTCTTGTGTGCCCTGCAGAAGCGGATGAGAGGAAGCTCACCCCCGGCAGCAGCAGCCAGGAGGTGGCGGAGGCGGAGGGCTTCGGGAAGCTTTACCCCAGCGCACCGGCGTCCCAACAGCAAGAGGAGCACAGCGGCGACGAGCAGGACCTCCCCTCAGACGTCATCTCCAGGAAGGAACTGGAGAAAGGACGCCTGTCAAGAGACGGTAAACACGAAGGGAGGCTCTTGGTCCGTTTCACTCTGGGTGCTTTTTATTTACTCCAACCATAAAAGACTTGGATGTGATGGGAAGTGATAATATTAGTGAACTGACCAACAGAACTGATCTTAAACCGCTGATTAGAGACAGGAAGTCAACAAACTAGACCTGAGACTTTAGTTTTCAAATCTGAGAAAAAAAAGCGGCCATATCAATTTGCATTTTCCTCTCAGAAATGCTGCTCTGTGTAGAAGTGATGCGAGTCAAATAAAAGCAGCAACAGCGTTCTGTTTGAAATGCATATTAGAGAGATTTGGCTGTTAGCGAGAGTAGCGAGAGCAGCGAGAGTAGCGAGAGCAGCGAGAGTAGCGAGAGCAGCGAGAGTAGCGAGAGCAGCGAGAGCAGCGAGAGCAGCGAGAGCAGCGAGAGCCACGGTGGCTGAACAAAACAAAATGAAGCGCCAACTGCAGAGAATCAAACGTGACAAAAGAAACTGAGATCCATCGAGAGGAAGACGAGCTAAAAAGTTCAACATCAGCATTACATTTTCTAAGATGACAATCACCCCACGATGATGAGGAGAGATGTAAAATAGTTGTTAGTGTGCTGCTGGTGGTTAGCGACCATCTCAGCCCAACGCTGAAATGCTAAACATCAAAGATTACTTGTCACCAAAAAACAATTCAGGCAAAATCACAAAGGGAAGTGGAGTAATGCACTCCGAACGTCGCCCATTTCTATTGATGTAGCGTCATCTGAATCTGTTCACATCTCTCATCCCTGACATCTCCAGACTCAAGCAGCTGTCTTTAGCCAGACTGACTGAATGTGGTCAGCTAAATAGATGTAGTTGGATATATATATATCTCAAAGGAGAATGAATATTGGACTGACATGGGTTATTCGACACGAATACAGATGTTCCATATCTGCTGAATGTCCAAATAGGCAACTGTTTGCTTACGAGCTGGCAATAACAGCTTAAATGGTGATAATGTGTAGATGCTGTGTTTACAGGTCAAAGCAGGCGAATGAAGTCAGTTAGTGCAGATTGAAGCATGTTATAGTCCTTATGTAAGAAAATACATTGAACTTTGGTGTGTTGACGATGGCAAAGTGAAGATATTCCATCTCTTTAAATGCAAACATTGAAAAAACCTGCAAAGGTTGATATCAATATTCATACATCCATTCACATCAATATTCTCCGTACGTTAGAAACATATTCATGGCTTATTGCGATTACATTTGCAGCTTTGCGAAATCACATCCTGTCTGGTTCTTATAGTCTCTGAAACCTTTCACCACCTGAATCTCTAACTTATTTCTATAATGTAAATCTAAGAACATAATAAAAAGTGAAGCAATGATCTGAAACTAATTCAAATGTGGCAACATTTCTAAATGATCTCCACATTCCTAAACGTGTCAGCTAATATGGATCCCTGTTCTTCACTTGGTGAGCCAGATTACTTTTAAGTGTAATTCTTTGTTCTTCCTCAACCGGCGCGATGCTCAGGCATGTTTTCCATTCCAATAGCTGAAATATGATTCATCCAAGTCCTTTCTACAATGCAGCGGCTGCTCGGTGCTGGGATCAAACATGCAATCACTGCTTTAATGTCTCCGCTCTTCAATCCACCCCGTCTTAAATAAAACATTTAGCGGAGGGTATTGAGTTGCAACGACTTTGAATTTACCTTTATGTATGTACGGGCAGCTCTGTGATGATCCTTTGTACCTGTATTTTTGAAATGCGCCTTGCATCAAGTTGTCTTTCTTCTTCTCTCCTTTTTAAAACAGAGATAAAAAGGATGTCTGTGTTTAAATACTATGAACCGGGTGAGCCTACCTGCAGACTGTACGTGAAGAACATCGCAAAGCAAGTGGAAGAGAGAGTAGGTCCTTTTATAGCACTCGACCCACTTTGGTTTACTGGATATGATGCTCATTCTGGAGTTTTCATGTATTGCTTTAGATCATGAAATGTCATTCTTTACGTTTCCTCTATGAGGTGTGAGCATTACTTCTGCATGAACAACAGAATCGACGATGCATTCATATTCATTCATCGACTATTTTTCCTGATCCACATCATTTGTCTTCCAGGACCTAAAGTACATCTATGGGAGATACGTCAACCCTTCGTCAGAGGCCGAGAGAAACATGTATGTAACCCGACCAGAGCAGACGCATCCTCTTCACTGAACTTCTTATCCACGTGGCTCGCGTGTCGCTTCGCCCCGTCCAATCTTCATGAGCTATTCTCGACTCCAGCAATTTGTCACTTTCCTCTGAGAGTTTTTAGTAATTCATGCTGACTGTGTGTTGTGTTATTAATAAGCACCTAACCTGACATAGAGAGCACGAGGGACATTTGATGTTTGCGCATCAGCAGTACTTCAAATGAATATTCCACCTGAGTCATCAAACCGAGCTTATGTTATGTAGATGGACTCTGAACACAGATGTAGGTGATGAACAGGAAGCTGCAGCTCTGCCAGAGAAACAGTTTGGCCTTTGGTAACCCATCTTTCAAGGGTTACTGCAGACCAAATCTTAGTTGTCCTGAAACATTTTTAAAATTGAACGTAGTGTTCACCATTGTTGCTTCTCTTAGGCTTAAGTTGCAAATCAGTAAAAAACCAATTGGTTGGAATAGAAACCGGCAGCTTCTCGGGTCTCAGGGACACACGATTGACAGCCACTGTTTTATACGGTCACAGCAGCAGATCATATTTTCTGATTGCCTCTCATACTGAATAGCTACAATATAACGTCGACTCTGTAGGCTGTAAGCTCGGAGTGATAATGATGTCTTGGTTTTATTTCTCAGGTTTGACGTTGTGTTGATGAAGGAGGGGCGGATGAAAGGGCAGGCCTTCGTGGGACTCCCCAGTGAGCAGAGTGCAGAGAAAGCCCTGCGGGAAACCAACGGCTATGTTCTCTACGACAAGCCCCTCATCGTCGTATCCTTTTACCGCCTCTCGCAAGATGAAACGAGGACGAGATCTTATCAGGAGGGGAAATCCAGGCTTATCTGGAGGAGTTGGACACAGATTCTACACACACACATATACAGTGGGTACGGAAAGTATTCAGACCCCTTTAAATTTTTCACTCTCTGTTTCATTGCAGCCATTTGCTAAAATCAAAAAAGTTCATTTTATTTCTCATTAATGTACACTCAGCACCCCATCTTGACAGAAAAAAACAGAAATGTAGAAATTTTTGCAAATTTATTACAAAAGAAAAACTGAAATATCACATGGTCATAAGTATTCAGACCCTTTGCTCAGTATTGAGTAGAAGCACCATTTTGAGCTAGTACAGCCATGAGTCTTCTTGGGAATGATGCAACAAGTTTTTCACACCTGGATTTGGGGATCCTCTGCCATTCTTCCTTGCAGATCCTCTCCAGTTCCGTCAGGTTGGATGGTGAACGTTGGTGGACAGCCATTTTCAGGTCTCTCCAGAGATGCTCAATTGGGTTTAGGTCAGGGCTCTGGCTGGGCCAGTCAAGAATGGTCACAGAGTTGTTCCGAAGCCACTCCTTTGTTATTTTAGCTGTGTGCTTAGGGTCATTGTCTTGTTGGAAGGTGAACCTTCGGCCCAGTCTGAGGTCCAGAGCACTCTGGAAGAGGTTTTCTTCCAGGATATCTCTGTATTTGGCCGCATTCATCTTTCCTTCAATTGTAACCAGTCGTCCTGTCACTGCAGCTGAAAAACACCCCCATAGCATGATGCTGCCACCACCATGTTTCACTGTTGGGATTGTATTGGGCAGGTGATGAGCAGTGCCTGGTTTTCTCCACACATACCGCTTAGAATTAACGCCAAAAAGTTCAATCTTGGTCTCATCAGACCAGAGAATCTTATTTCTCATAGTCTGGGAGTCCTTCATGTGTTTTTTGGCAAACTCTATGCGGGCTTTCATATGTCTTGCACTGAGGAGAGGCTTCCGTCGGGCCACTCTGCCATAAAGCCCCGACTGGTGGAGGGCTGCAGTGATAGTTGACTTTGTGGAACTTTCTCCCATCTCCCTACTGCATCTCTGGACCTCAGCCACAGTGATCTTTGGGTTCTTCTTTACCTCTCTCACCAAGGCTCTTCTTCCACGATTGCTCAGTTTGGCTGGACGGCCAGGTCTAGGAAGAGTTCTGGTCGTCCCAAACTTCTTCCATTTAAGGATTGTGGAGGCCACTGTGCTCTTAGGAACCTTGAGTGTTGCAGAAATTCTTTTGTAACCTTGGCCAGATCTGTGCCTTGCCACAATTCTGTCTCTGAGCTCCTTGGGCAGTTCCTTCGACCTCATGATTCTCATTTGCTCTGACATGCACTGTGAGCTGTAAGGTCTTATATAGACAGGTGTGTGCCTTTCCTAATCAAGTCCAAGCAGTTTAATTAAACACAGCTGGACTCCAATGAAGGAGTAGAACCATCTCAAGGAGGATCAGAAGAAATGGACAGCATGTGAGTTAAATATGAGTGTCACAGCAAAGGGTCTGAATACTTATGACCATGTGATATTTCAGTTTTTCTTTTCTAATAAATTTGCAAAAAATTCTACGTTTCTGTTTTTTTCTGTCAAGATGGGGTGCTGAGTGTACATTAATGAGAAATAAAATGAACTTTTTTGATTTTAGCAAATGGCTGCAATGAAACAAAGAGTGAAAAATTTAAAGGGGTCTGAATACTTTCCGTACCCACTGTATATATATATCTATCTAACATGCCCTAAAACAAAAATGATACTTGATGCACTTAGTCTAGGCTCATTTTGTGGTGTAATATTCACTTCCTGTTCCATATCGCAAGGCCATTTTCTATTGCATTTAGGAGATAGAAGCACAATATGTCATAGTATGTGGAAGGTGTTGCCCACAAGTGACTGATTGAGAAAAGAAAGCTGCAGACCTAGTATATACGATGCACTGAACATACGCAGAGGGCCAGTTAAGGAGGTGGTGTGTGTTGAATATTAGGTGGACGCCTCCCATCACAGATGTGTTGGCCCTCCAAAGGGCGAGGACTCATTTTCTGGCAGCCCTGAACCGCCACCTGCTCTTCCTCAGCGCAGCACCGATAATTGCACAGCAACCTTTGAACTTGTCTAATGGAACAAGGCTATTGATTTTTGAAGGGTGTCTTAATGTGCATCCCATAACCAATTAGCTTGGCGACGGCATATTAGTCTTCCAGTTCAAAGAATAAACAGCAGAGTCTGCAATGTCATTTATTTGGAGACGTCCTGCGTGTAGTCGCTATGTGGCAGGTCAGGCGACCGTTGTCATTTAGTCACCGTTCAGCCATTAACGACGTGGTGAGCAAGCTTTAAGATATGCTTTGCTAACGGCCCTTTTTTCCGTTTGTTTCTCAAAATATACCACTCAAAGTGTGCTCAAATGGTAACAAATAGAACTCAATGCGTGTTCTAAGGTAGACTTGGGATTGTTTTTAAAGGGTTTATTCTATTTGGAGCATGAAAGAGTCGAGTAAGGTTCATTTGGGCGCAGATGTCTTTTTAAGCAGTCATAGGCAGAGGACAGCCAGTTTAGAGTCCTTATAATGATTTTTTCGGTGCTAGCTAGAGACCGCAGCACGACACTTGCCAGAGAATCCTCTAACAGCCTGCTACAAAAATAAGGTAGCTGAAAGAAGAAACCTGCGTGAAATGCTTGTAGTTTAAAGGGTAAGGTCTAGCACTGCAGTGACAGCCTTTCACACATCTGGCCCCTCCCCTTTTATTTCATCCGTCACTGAGGTACTGGGCTCAGCAGAGAAGGTGACCCGGGCTCTTTAAAAGGTCCGTCTTTTGGCCAGTAGTCTCTGGCATTTCTACGCAAACAGCCGCGACCTTTAATCAAATTAAATTCATATGAGGTGGCAAGTGTCTCGAGGAAGAGGGTCCCCTGTGGCTTCAAGCTGCTGCATACAAACACGATTGTATGCGAATATTAAATATAAGTCTGTGATTATCAGTCTGTGAATTCGGGCCGTAAGCTGAAATTGGCTTTGCAGTGAGGTTGGGGTTCTGGTGTATATCATCATCTGTGGGGCTACTGGTGTATTAGTTTGGTAGATAGATGGGTATACATTTGAAGTATTGGAGGTTACTAATGGGACCAGATGAAGGAGCAGATCTGTTGCCCGTATAGGATTATGGTTTCCATGTGCTTCCCTTACTTAAGAGAAGCTGGAAGGTCTGGCCTGAAAAAGAAGATGCTTCATCAGGCGAGAGTAAACCTTTTTCCCATTTAATGAAAGTGTTTGCCCCACAGACCTTAACTATGAACTCCCAGCAATTCGCCCGATCTGCCAAACCAAAAGAAGACAACACGGTTACCAAGAGAGGACCAAAGCATCGATGAACTCAGCAGGTGAGTGAGAGACTGCAGCGTCTGCAAAGAGAGAATGTTCTAATGAAAGCCATATATATATATATAGAGAGAGAGAGAGAACAAGCCTTATTACTCTTGTAATGGTGTTTTCTTTTTACGTTTGTGTTTACACTTTATTTATTCAAGATGCCAAGGCTTGATATTGTGGCCCAGCAGAACCATTTGTATCCTTATTCTGGCATATCCTTTGGAAGAACAAATAGCAGAGAAAATGGGGGCAGTTTATTTGTAGTTATTGTGGCACAATTGGAACTTGAAACAGCCTGGATTGTAGTCTAAATTTAAAAAGACTGACTGCCGTGCTTTGTTTCTGTCGTCTATTGTCTCTTACAGTATGTGCTCTGAAACACTTAGTGTAGACTCTGTAAGCCTGTGCTATTTGAGTCTCAAACGTCTCTTTACATTTCTCTCTACCTTGTTTGACTGATTTTCAGGTGATGGTCGTCGGATGTCATCTTCGTCTTTTATTACTAAATAAAAAAAGCTATTTTATTAAGATCACTTTTGTCGTGTTTTCTGTCAACCACAGCTTCAGACATGTCAGTATTTGTGGGGGATCGCTTCAGCCATACAATAATAACTGATCATCTTTAGCCCCAAACTGAAAGTCTTGGCCGCAGAGCGAACACGTCCTGCGGGAGGTACAGGGCCTTGCAAAAGTATTCAGTGTTCACCTGTTCTGTTGCATTACAACCAGGAAGTAATGTGCAGTTTATATGGATGCCATTTAATGGACCTAAAGAAAATAGTCCAAATTTGTGAAGTCAAATAAAAATAAAAATTGTCAAAAAAACTGAAAAGTGCTATGAAGCCACTAATTAAGCTTGTGTGCTTCTAATTACTCTCAAAAGTCACATAATTAGTTCAATTGAGTCCACCTGTGTGCAATCGAACTGTCACATGGTATAACGGAGCAACATTCAATCCATTAGTACACAACAGACAGAATATTGCACCACACCAAACCTGCCAAGAGGGGACCAACGTTTGTTTCACCTAACCAATTTTGACTATTTTGTTTAGGCCTATTACGTAAAATCCATTTTAATTCCAGGTTGTATTGCAACAAAATCGGGGGCGAATGCTTCTGCGAGGCGCTGAATGCGAGATGGAGACTGGCTCTGCAGGAGATGGTAGGCTGTCAACACGGAGGAGAAACCACAATCCTGAAGAGACGACAGACAGACGCGGTCTGTGAGAAATTGCCGGGACTGGGTCAGCTTACCTTTTTACGGTCCCTGACTGGCCCCATCGGTGTGATTATTGAGAGTAAACCTTGGAGGGAGAACATCTCCCCCTCAGCAGCCATCATAACTGAAGATTTGGAAATCAAATTGGTTTTTGGCCTCTTTTGGTGTAAGCAATACTGTGAGTGAACTGGGTACATGTCAATCGCAGCTAAATTAAAGTTTGTGCTGTCTGATCTTTGAGATGTCGGATGAGTGGTCTGGTTTGACAGAAATGTGAGCATCAGAGAAACTATGCTGGGATGTGTTTTCTATACTAGGATGGATGGAGCTTGTTACTACACCTATACAAACACACACACAATGTAAATGTTATATAGAAGGATAAAGGGCCAGACTGGTTTAATAGCTTGGTGTCCTCTTGTTACTAAATTGTTCTCTAAATTCTCAAGTGATGGGTAACATTGGCCTTTTCTCCAGGTTCACTTTATTGTAGTCGATTCAGTCAAGGGTTGGTTTGTCACTCGCTAGCTAATGCTGCTCTATATTAGAAAAATAAAAACATTTAAAACTGATTGTTTAAATGAAAATTGAAACTGTAATATTGTTGCATTTAAAGTAGTGCTTATAGTGTTACTGTTCAATGAAGACTATGAGACAAAAACCCAACTTTAGTTTCATTTCAAAGGCAATTTAAAGTTAAGATTTTCACAAATGTGATGTCTAATGTTTTATATAAATCATAACAGTCTCTGAACCTCATGTCTGTTTCCCCCCCCCCCCCCCCCGTTTCCCCAAATCCCATTCAAGCTTTACTTGTGTTTCAGCTCAGTGATCCTGTGGCACCAAAACCAAACTGACTGCTCCATTTTGAATCTCTTTTCAGAATATGTGAACATTATCACTGCCCTGAAATAATTCAGATAGCAGCTATGATACCACAAGCGATTTCAATGAATAGACAAGCTACTCCGCTAACCAGGAGTATCATCACCGCCATGTTGTCTTTGGTGTTACGCATGTCCCTGTTCAGATTTGACAGAAAGAAAGTTGGTCTCCTTTAGAAGAAGGCTCATAGCACTGTAATAACCTCCATGTAATGGAGAATAATTTAACCACCAGTTTACATGTTTAAAATTGTGCAAATCTATCAATGCAAAGCCCACACTGCTGTCCTCTACCAGTCAGCAATCAAGAATGCGTAATCTATGACGCTGAACGCCCCTGTGTCGGGTGATACAGTGCAGGCAATTTGCATGACGTGCTGTAGCCATGTTTCATCAGATCTCCCCTTTATGTGGGAGCATAGCGATTGTAGCCACCAGCTGATTTAACCGGACTGTAATCTGCACATGTAACAATGGCGGGTTAATTGGGTGCAATTGTAATATCCTCTAGAGACGTAATAGCCATAATTAAACAATTATCTGTCCCCCCTTCAGTTGCGATATACAAGAACCAAAAGCATATTGTGTGTATCTGTACAAGAAGCAAAAACGATGTTTGGATGCAACTTTCGACTGTTGACTTCCTGTAATGGTTTCCAGAAACAGGCAGTGTGATTTTGCGTTAAATAGACCATGGTGCATGTGAAATCCATTTTATTCCTCCTGATTCTACCTTTGTGTAACGTTCAAAATATCTGTTCATTAAGCCCCAGCCCTGCTCATGAGTTTGGCCCCCCCCCGGTTAAGCTCCAGGCACATGGGGGGTCATCAATCACACGTGCTCGTCTGGTCCGACCCGCAGCTCGTACGTCAACGCCAGCGCGAGGGAGGAGTTCCCATCTGTGCCCCACTCTGCCCGCCATCTCAACGATGACAAATGTGCCACCCGCCGAGGAAATATTGAGAGTTAGCTACCAGGACATTCATCAGGTAACATTTGAGCAATATGAGAGATAACCTTTTGTAAGTGGACGCAGATAGAGATGTATGTTCTGCCTCTCCTCCCGTCTCCGTTTTAATACTGCAGCTACCCACGAGTAATATCAAGATGATGTGTTTCTTATTTCAGGGATCAACCAGGTGTGCAGTCTGTTTGCTGCTCGTAGCACGTGGATTGCCGGGTACATACGTGCACATGTGGCCTATTTTTCCCCTGGTCACTGTGTGAATCAGCCTTCACTTCTGCCTTCGCACCACATATTGCTTGTACAAATTGAGCGCAATGTTTACTCATAAACTAGGAGCACTCCAGGCAACATAAACATGCCCCGGGCCATAAGGTATCTCCAGACGCCTCCAATGACGACGTTGATGTCTGAATTTACCTGTGGGCTTCTGTGCTGTATTGTCAAGGTTTATTTTTTTGGGGCCTGGTGCAAAGCGAGCTTCTGTTTTCACTGAAACTGAATACCAATGCACTCACAAGCCACTGAAGTCACTCAGTCAGTCAGTCAGTCCATTCCCCACTGCAGACAGTTACCAGCCTATAAGCATGTTTGCTGTGTTGCTTTGGGTTTAGCTGTGTTGGCGAAGCATTGCTTTGTCACATCAGGGGACCCAAGGGTCCATCAGAGACTCTCCACAACAGGAAACTCACCATTTATAGCAATTGGTACAGTTAGATTTGGCGGGAAAAAGTTGTGCTCTTTGAGGGAGCTCTCAAAGAAGGATTCTGCTGGAAGAACTGATCTCCCATCAATAGACACACGCACATGAAACTCTCCCAATGTAATCGTCAATACAGAAGATGACCTGCATTAGAAAAGCATCAGTTTCTTATAGTCAAAGGTACAAGCCTTTGTGCGTAATGCTATCATTTTATTAAATGCAGCACTACTACTAATTTGTCCCACAAAGCTTCTAAATACCACGCTAGAATTCTGCTTGCCAAAATTGAATTAGTGTGAAATTGTTTTTTCTGCTTGTGTTTGTTTTTAATAGATGGCATGTAAATTCAGTTTTTTTTTAAAGACTTATTGAGGTGTAATTATTAATCAGAAATATTTATATACTTTATCAAATACGCTTTCTGTACACATTTGTTAGTAGAGTGAATTTGGCTCAGCCAGAGGATTTTAAAGAAAGGAATGATTTTCTGTCACTTGATGTTTGAGCCAACAACACATACAAAGCCACTCAATGTGATTTTTTTATTTTTTATAATTGTTTTAACATAATGGGTTATATTTGTCAGATATTAATCTATTTTAATGAAATGTTCTATTGCCGAAACCTTGAATAGTTTCATTCCTGATTGTTTTACTATCACTAACACAGCACATACTAACCTATGACACAGCAGATGATGATTATCTCACAGTCAGCTGTATTGCACTGTATGACTGTATATTTTTGCCAGAGTTCAACCCTAAGTTGTAAGCAAACCAGTAATGTGTAGCCACCACTAACTATGAAAAAAAACATTCAGTTAGTCTTAGTAATAACCCTAAAAAAAGACAAAATCAAAGGCTCCTTACTTTTTACCCCTGAATTAAAGATGTATAACTAAAAGACTTTAATGAAAACATCTTTGAAACCATTTGGTTCAAAAGTAATACACACATTCTCTCTGACTGTCGTTCGTGGAGACCTGACTGTTAGACGATATTTAAACTGACAGTGAGTGTACGTTGCCAGGGGTGAATTAACGTTAGTGGTCAATGCAGTGTGTGGAGTTCACATGATGGGAGCGATGGACTGAGGAGCACAGGCCTCTCCAATGACATGGTGAGCAGTGCCATTTAATGGAGATGTTGTATATCTTTTTCAGATTTGGCACAGTTTTCCTTGGCACACATCATGCCAAAAACTCTCTTTTGGCAACATTTCTGCCCCCAAATCCGTCCGACCCTGGATCTAATTTAGCTTGTACATTTTAGGCTAATATTAAGCCTTTGTTTCTTGCATTGACAAATGTATACTAAAGTACCTTACCGTGTCCACTTTACACTATATTTTGGGAGTGGCTCCCCGACATATCTGTGCAACCTCCCAACTTGGTTTGTTTTCGCTCAGTCTCGGAAAATTCCATCTCTCTGCGACCTTGTTACAAAATCTGCAACAATTAAAAAGCACAAGGTAAAAGAACAGCAGGGATGCACAGGCTGAGCAGTTATTTAAAGGCATTTCTTGGAGCTGATGGTAAGGCACTGACAAAACCGTCACCTGCAGCATGAGGTAACAAATTCCAGATTCCCATCTTGTCTCCTTGTTTGATGGTGCATATGTCATCTTTTTTATTTTTGCACTTTTATTTTTTTTTAAAGCACAGGATGTAATAACCCTCTATTTGCCATCTGCCTCTACTCCGACACCCGTCGCTGCTCTCCTCGTGTACACGTCTCTACACTGGTGTGTACAGTGAGGATATAAACGCTACCAGCCTGCAGTGAGTATTCACACTTTAGAAACAATATGTGTTTCAGGTTATTTAGATGATTGCTGCTGTTTGCTACTTCAGAATACCTGGTTTGTCATTTTTTACGGCAAAGATGACTTGAACTTGAATTGTTACTCAGAATCCGACTCGATCAACGAGGTGTCAATGACAGTCAGCACGGACAGGTGACGTGAGAATAAAAGTACAGCCCTAGGTAGATAGATTATGTCACACTCTGTAATCAAAGTGCATTTCATTGAAATGCTTTGAATCCCCTTGAGCCCGTGGGCCTTCCAGCCACACGCAGACATCAATGAGGTGGCGGACACAGAATCAATGATAGCTCTAAACATTTCCCCAAGAAATCCTTTTGTAATCCTCAATGGTAGCAGTGGAGCATGGATGTACCATGGTGCTTTGCGGCTGCATTGGTGGCCTGCTGAGACAGGGACTTTCTTCTGGCCTGGACCAACTTAACTGTGAGCTTTTGCTGACTTTGAAGGAGCAAATCGTGGGAAGTCAACTCCAGAGTGTATGTATGGTCGTCGAGCCTTTCCGAGAGCAAATGTGTCAATTCCGAGGTACGTGTATTCATTATGGAGAGAGTGATGGCTTGACCATGCATATTTCATGCTTTTAAACCCTGCAAGTTTCATGAAGTTGTCCGAATGAGTAGCATTTAAAAACTGGAGTGAAGTAATGTGCTTGAATAATTAATCTATAATGTCTTTGATAAAAAATTACAACCAAGCTCATCAGTTTTATTGAAGCCAGGAGGTTAATTTATTAATCTTAATTGCATGTTGAACTTGTTTACATTAGGAGCCATATTTGGTATATAGCCTACAGATTCATACGTCCCACTTGAGCTCTTAATGGTTCAGCTTTTTCGGCGCGGACAACTCTCTCCGCGAGTTACGCAGTGGAAATGGTGAGAGCACAAGATGTTGTCAGTTATTGCATAGGCTTGTAAAGCCTGTGTCGGTATGTAAAAGTACACCCAGCTTCGCTATAAATTGCTCATCCCCCAATGTGAGTTTCCTCCTCCCTTTTCTGACATTACACCTCCTCTCTCATTGCTCTGCCCTGTGCTGTCCGAGTTGCCAACTAAATCTCAGCCTCATCTTGTCCGCCGTAACCTTGTTTATTCCCAACAGTGGCATTAGCAAAGCTGTAAAAGTATTTATGGGGGTACAAATGCGGGACAGCCAATCTAAGGTAAATCTATAAATCCTGGCTGTTGATTTCTCAGGGCCAGGAGGTGCAGGCCGGTGATCAGTAGAGGTAGAAAGTATTCCCCGGGTGACTCTGTGTGACTCACGCGCAGGGGCCGAGCAGCATGCCAAACAGTGTGTGGCGACACTGTTGTGCTTGCAATATGGCTAAGCTGGCCTTCGCCTCTGAAGTGAGACACACCGCCTGGCTATCCATCTA